CCCCCCCCCATATTATTAGACAAGTGCAAAGACTAAAAATTAATTTCAGATGAAATGAAAGAAAACGTTTCCTTCGTTTCATCAAACAAAACACATTTTTATGCTATTTTGGATTCAGCCATTGGCGTGTTCTGGAGGCTGGGCGCATGACGTCATATAACACCGCACATGTTGGGCGCCGCCATCTTGGTGTATATCTAGGTATACACCAAGATAGTGGGGCCAATATCGGCGTGTGAGGTCACCTGATGCCACGCATGCATGGCGTCATGTAACGTCATGCTCCCCGCCTCCAAGATGGTGGCACGCATTCACAAAACACGCCGGTGTTTATTATGCGCCTGAATAACATTTTCGTATATTCGGACATATAGTAATTCATTCATTTTACACGTAGTCGGGTTTTGTGTTCCGTTTTCTATTTTTACTTTTCTAGATGCACTTACTTGAAAAAAGGATCGGCATGACAACCTGACACTTTATTTTTATAGACTCCATTGTAGTTTGACATTTTATTGTTTACCTTTTGTTGTTTTATTTGATAAGAATACTTATATTGTGCCTACAAGTTTAATACCTTTGAATAAAAGTTTTATTTTATCATACTTTTTAATATGTTTCCTTGCGGCTTAACAAAATAGGAGTCTTTAAATGGTGCGGATATTGGGGAAAATGGTTACTGGGGGTGTGGCCACCGAAGGGTGTGGCCACTGAGGGGTGTGGTCACTGAGGGGCGCTGTAAAGCTTTCTTGCACAGGGCGCCTAAGACCGGCCCTGATCGCGGTCTACCAGAAATAGCTTTGCGATCGACCTATTGGGCACCGCTGCTTTACAGTATATTCAAACCCCTAGGGAATGATAACCTATTAAAGGTGTCTACAGACATTCGAGGAAGTCCATCTTATCTGTCCATTTACAGACTGATCTAGGAACAATCATATGTGGAACACGCTCCCTGCTCGAACTTGCTCGATGGAAACATTGATCACCTAGAATAGGTCTCTATATTCCAAATTGCAACACATGCAATGCGCCATGCCATTCCCCCTCCCACACTCATCAGAAGGTCCCTTCATACCTATGTCATGTAGATTGCTCAGTAGTAAGTTAAAGGAGAAGTACGGGGTCAGGTTTTTCCCCATAGTTCTCCTTAGGGTAACGAGAGGACACAAACTAGCGTCCTCCCGTCACCCTAAGCTCAGTATATAGGGGGCTACAGCTCGCGGTATACTGAGACGCCGCAGCCGGAGCGGATCCCGACATCAATGTCGAGATCCGCCCAGCTGCGTGACTGACAGCTTGCTCTGCCTATCTAGAGGCAGAGCCAGCTGTTATAGTTCTCCTTTAAGTAGACATCTGGGCAGAAGTCAAACAAAAAGATTCAGGCTACCTATAGAGTATAGGTAGTCCAAGGGTTAATTTAAACATCGGGACAAACCAAAAATGTGAATTTGTTCTTAGAAAAAGGATTTATTCATGTAAAATTGGGTAACAGACATGGCCAATCACTACTTATCGACCAATTAAAAACAATACAATACTGACTATACAGGTGAAACTCGAATAATTAGAATATCGTGCAAAAGTAATGGCAGTAAGTGCTGCAAAAGGGGCCCAAACCAAGTACTGAGTACATATGCATGCTTGTACTTTTCACAGGTCCGATATTGTTCTATGTACAATCCTTGTTTTATTGATTGCATGTAATAATCTACTTTTTTGAGGTTGTGGTCTTGGGGTTTTCATGAGCTGTAAGCCATAATCATCACAATGATGACAAATCACGGCTTGAATTATCTTGCTTTGCATGTAATGAGTCTCTCTCATATATTAGTTTCACCGCATAAGTTGCATTAATGAAATAAATGAACTTTGCACCATATTCTAATTATTCGAGTTTCACCTGTAGATTTGGTAACCTTTGGTAGGACAGTCTACGCCCCTAGAAATTAAAGCACATCCGTCCAGGCTTATGGTAACTTCTCGATTCGAATGCAGAAAATATTTAGATCATTGGATACTCATCCTGTGTGATAATTACTATCCCATATATTTCAAGTGAACTACTTTGGTTCTGATACTTTGTTCTACTTGCGTCTATTTGTTCGGCAGAATATATCTTTCGCCCGTTGGTTTTAAAACATTTGTGTCCTTGTATCACTAGAGTGTTAAACACTTCGTGTACAGATTTATTGGTTGTGTTATCCTCATGTAATTAGATTTTATACATAGTCGTCCGAATTGAAATTTCGAAAAGGTGCTTTTCCTTACGGGATATTGATAGTCATATTAAGTTCGTTGGTACAATGACCCAAAAATTTTTATGTGGGTACTAGGCAAAAATTGAGTCTTCCCTTTCCTCCTTTGAGGGTATAGGGGTATTTACTTAAAGAAATATGAGGTGGGTGCTTTTCACTCACCTCATAGTTCTAGCCGACCTGTGACAATGAGACTGTCACAGGTCGGCTCAGTAGATCGGGAGGTGAGC